CCACAAATCCACACGGCCCACCACAGGGTGGTCGGCTTGTAAATTTGGTGGTGTAACACCCCCACGCAAAAAAGGGCCCAAAGGGGGGGGGGGCCCTGCCATAAGCAATTCAATCAATCAAGTTTGTTACAGCCCTAAGGCCAGATACAGTCAAAACATCTAACAGCAGTCTTACATCCTTCTACATACATACATACATACATATATGACAGAAAAACAGTAAATATAATATGGCCTAAAATAATTAAGAATAAAAATACTAAAATAAATCAAAATAAAATACTATAGTAAGAAATTCCAAATCTAGGTAATGGTGCGGTGTATCGTACAGATAGTAGCATAAAACTGGACAACTTGGGCAGATATTTTTGAGTCCTTGTTCGAAAGAAGTAACATTAAACAGAAATCACATTTCCTACCTGGAAATTTCTTCAAGATCGGATATATAAGGGTCTGTCTAGAGCCCTTATATAGGGAGCAATATAGTAGCATATGGCTTAGAGTTTCTATTGAGCCATCACCACATGGTCAGAACCGAAGGTGCATCGGAGTGTCCTTAAAACATCCAAAAAAGACTGCTGAAGGCAGAGCATCCATCCTGGCTATGGTGAAGGCCTTACAAAATTTCACAATTGTAACGGTTGATAAATAGGAGGCTGGAATGAACCCTTAGGGGAGAAGATGAGAAATATTGATATGTAGCACCTTACTTAAATTTGTTTGGAGATCTATATCCCAAATTTGTTAAGGGTGTTTCTAGCATTATCAAAACCTAATGAGCACAGAGTTTCCATAGAGAAGCCCAGCAATTTAATTTATCTAAGGCTCTTTTAAGCCATGATGATTTAAAGCAATCTCTAAATACTAATGGGGCTAGACCTATAGGAAGTAGAATTAACTTTAACCAGAAGGTAAGAAGAAGAAACCACGCCCTAGCAGCCAGTGAAACTATATCTGTTTCTACATGTAGGATAGCATTTTTGACACTTTTTGGAACCATCAATATAATTCTAATAAACTTATTTTGAATGGTTTCAATAGTACTAAGCTTTGCAAAGGAGCAAATCTGAGAGCCAGATTTGCAGGGATATAATGGGCTCCTTTTGAATGGTAAAATTTAACAATAGCTGAAGAGGTAGGCTGTGCAACATTTGCCCGGTAGAAAAAATGAGCATTCCAGGATAAGGAAGCATGGAACTGTACTCCAAGGTATTTATAGGTGCACACCAGTTCAGTTTGAATCCCATTTATTTGTCATTTGTGAATTTTATGACAGTGTCAGGCAAAAACTAGGACTTTGGTTTTCTGATAATTTATTGATAGTTTATGTTCTGTGCAAAATAAAGCTAGAGCCCTAAGTGCTTTTCTCATTCCCACCTGTGAAGTAGACATAATAGCTACATCATCGGCATACAGTAGTATGGGCAAGTATACTACAGGGCAAGTACCATAAGCAGTATTTAGTACCATAAGCAATTGGCTTAATATCATAACAATTGTAATCTTGAATTATATGGATTTGATGTTTATAAGAAATTGATAAAAGTAGATGAAACAGTATTTGCACACCAGATTTAAATATTTGGGTGGGGAGTGCTAGGCTATGTCCCATCCTTGTGGGTCTGTCTTCCCTCATTTTCTCCTACAAAGATTTTATTGAACATATGATGTGGTTTGATTTATTATTATTTAATGACACTTTGGGCAAAGTTTTTGTTAATGCTATTTGCTTGGTTTTAATAGGCTTAGTATTATGGTTTTAGAGATATATTGCATATACTAAAAGTGAAGTGATGACCATTGGCCAATTCCTAGTTTGATTTGATGCCCATTTGCCATACAAAATATGCACAAAATCAAAATTACACTGCTATAACCACAAACAGCATGACAGCTATGAAAAGTGCAAAATATTTCTATTTACTTCCTAAGGATCTTCCCATGCATTCAACTCTTGGCCTCTAAGGCTGGATATTGCCTCAGGAAGTAGATCTTCTTGCAATGATACTGTGTGGCTGCAAGAATAATGATTTTTCCATCTTCCATCAAACAAGAAATGTAAATAAGGTGTTTCTCAAGTTACAATACCTGCCCAATGAATTAACAGCAGATTGACAGATCCCAGTAACAAATTATTCCAAGATTAAAGCAAAAAAGAGCATCATTTGTTATCACCTCCTATTCCCAGGTAAAGCCAATCAAACATCAATGATCTAAAGTAGGGCTACCAATTCTGGGCTGAAAAAAACTGAACAATCTCTACATGGCAGCAATGAGTTATCTTTTGCAACCCAAATCTAATTATCGTTCATCCTGCACAATGTTTTTGCAAACCTGCACTGGTTTGCAAACATCCACTTTGCTAAAGCAGCTAAGTCTATGCCATATGGTTACAGACACCAGAACTAAACCTGTGCCTTAAATGCCAACTTTGTTCTCATATTTACTTTGGCAACATTATTACACAGCTTAATAGTTTCACCTACAACTGGGGAACTTAACCTAGTTAATGTTCCCAATATGGTATATACTACCACTATTTAACAATGTCTTGCCAGAGTTCACATTGGCAATTTAGCCAATAATAAAAAATAAATGGGCCAAATCTGGAATCATAAATGGTCATATTGGAAACCACATTTCACTCCTTCAAGACATTCTATGGTGACCCCAAGAATAATTGAGAAGATGAATAGAAAGACTGGTTTCAGGATGAAATAGCGGCATCAGAAATTATAAGATTTAATGTAATTCTTCATGGATTCAACGAAGACCAACTTTCTTATCCCATAACATACGTTAGCTAGCTTCTGAATGCAAGAACGTCTGTGGCTCTTTCATCAATCTCTTCCTTCCCTGGCTTCCCTTCCAATAAAAGTTATGCATTTGTATGTGGGAAATCTGATTCAATCATAAATGTGGTAGTCTTTAAGAGGCCACAAGACTCATTTTACATTAATTTTACTGCTCAGTTTTTGTATCAGAGGCAGGACAGAGAACAGCAAGCTTATTGCCCATAAAAAATTGCAACAGCAGTATACTAAAATGCAAATATGAACACGGTGCTTCTTCATTTGGCAGAGGGTGTCATTATAAATCTTGAAGGAAAACAGGCACAATACACTGTATTTATTCTTCCAGGCATCCTTATAGTGCTTCTTTTCAAGAGGTACTCTAATTTTTAAACCATACTACCTTACAATGGCTTCCCTATTACAAATGTGAGATTGAATCTAGATTCCAGTCTGGGTAAAGGATAACATCTATGAATAATTTCAACTCAGGGCAGACAAAAATGTGGTTCCTCAGAAGTAAGATCTGCAGCATCATTCTTTGGGATGGGGAGAAACACACTTTCACTTTTTCTGTTCCATAACTGAAGTAATACTAAAAGCTAGTATCTGGGACAGGCCTCCTTTTCTTGAAAGTTGTCCGGTACTTTACTGTTTTTTTGTTCAGCTCACAGTGTTAAGTTGGTCCTGCCCAGGAAACGTTTATTTGCTCTGTGTCCCTATATATAAAACCCATAAATGGATACCACAAATCAATTCTTTGCTCACAAAGTACTTTAGTATTAAGATTAGGTCTCAAGATTTATATGCTGCCATGCAAGTTGGAACTTGGCTCTCCCAAGTTCTTAACAAACCACACTTAACATTCTTGAGTGAATGAGAGCTCAATTTTTCTCAGGCAGAGAAGGGCCTCAGAGAAATCTTCATACACAACATTACACTAAAAATTGAACTTGGAAAAGAAAGGGAAAGCTTGGAGGAAGAACACTCCGCCCCCCAAAAAAGCCATTGAATGCATTATTTCCATAGGAAAAAAATATTTTATTATTTTTTTTAAGAACAAATTCAGTTTGAAACAGATGTGGAATGTGAATTTTCAGAGATTTCAATTTCTGGAAGGGACTAACTGCAACGTAGAACAAAAGCAGATTTCAAAACTAAGACAGTCTAGGTTTAAAAAAAAAAGAAAAAATATTTATAACTCAAGCGTAATACTGTGTTACTTACAAACTGGACAAAGGAATTTTTAAATAAATATTCATGGTACACAGTTACAGCACAAATATGCAGCAATTTGGCAACCTTTTTAAATCTTATCTCTTTATCCTGGATACTGTGCAAAGGGGAATGACACGGCCTTTAAACAAGCTGTAGCTAAATACATAGCAAAAGTCAGATTTTATACAAAACATCTCGCTTAGACTTTATAAAAAACCAGTGTTGCTCTATATACACAGTCTGGTTAAGAAAAGATGTTTATTCTTGTTTCCATGTGTATTTTTATTTAATCTTTATTTAAAAAGGTGAATAAGGCTACTGTAACACCCCAAATCCATATACAGTAAATCTGAACTTATTTACAGCATCTTCACTCTTAAACAGGATGATGTAAATTTCAAAAAGTTAGGGGTTAACACAAGCAAGGCATTTACAGTAACTTTTCAAAGCTGAACCAAACACCAACTCAAGGAATAGTTGGTAAGATTGTCATTATTCTGCACAAGACACAACACAGGTACACGGGGCTCTTTTCTCCCCACCTCCCCTTCCTGGTTTGCAGGTTGCTCTTCTTTAGAGTTTTATCCAAGATCCCCCTTCCCCATGTTTCGTACATAATGAGAAGGTAACTGACTAACAACCTCTTTTGGGTTATGTTTTTTTTTGTTTTGTTTTTTTTAAACAAGCCCATCTACGTTTCCAAATCCCCTCAAAATCTTAATGACTTACAAGAAAAACCTTGCATGGATGGATTCAGAGAGAGAAAAGCTTTAGGAAAGAACTGCTTCTGTGCTGCAGTTAGTTACCATAGTAACCTCCCACAGAACCATGCTCCTCCTTTCCTTTCCTCTCCCCTCCATCTCTCTCCCTTCTTGCACCAACGTCATTTTCAGGTTCAGGAAATACCGAGAGTAATCATTTCTATGACAGGACTCTGGTGTGTGGGGGGGTTGGTTTTGTTTTTTTGTATTTTTTTTTTTTTTTTTTGCACGTGCTCTGTGGAAGTTGGGAACCTTAAAATGCTGTAGCTACAAGTTCTCTCCAGTCCAGAAAGTGAAGTGTTGCTATGGTAACAGGACTATGTGATAAGACATCTATTTTGCATAGCACATAAAAAAGTAGATTTATGTCCCCCAGGGTGCAGAGGTTGGAGGGAGAACAACAACTATGCTTCAAAGCAGGAACTTTATAGTTAAACTTTCCTATTGGTATCCAGCTCAAAATACTCCATCTCGTAAGGCAAGGCGGGAAAACACAGCACAGAACAGAAAAGCCATATCAGAATATCTTGTTAAAATACATTGTGTAGTTACACACTTATCTCATGATTCAGGGGCTTTGTTACCTAGTCTACTGGTTATGTAAGACAGCTAAGAGGGCTAGGTTCTTTTTACATTTCCTCTCAATACTATTCTTTTTGGAGTTAAAGATCTATTTTCTCCCAGAAGTAGCCAAATTGATTTCATGGTCACAGAGGAATTTCACATCTTCTGTACGGATTCTGTGCAATCTCAATACATAGATATATTAGTAATCTGAACAAAATTTGCTACCGTATATCCCCCGGGTTCTATACACCTATTATAAATAAGTCACACTATACCTCCCCTTCTTGTAGCTGAACGTGTTGCATCTTTACAGACCACAAGCGGTTTACCATATGTGCTTTATTTCAGAAAGAGAAAAATCCCACCAATGGCAGTACAGGACTAGCTCAAAATGCATTGCCAGAAGTCAGAATGTCAAAAGGCTTGATTGAAGGAAAAATACAATCCTGACCAATTTTGACAGAGATGTGAATGCTTGTTTTAAGTGATGGAATTATAGCCCTCTTGACCATTAAGCTTGTGATTTTTCTATGTCAGATGTTGCTGTTTTCTTTTTTTCTTTTTCCCTATGATTCGATAAAATGTGATAAGTAATAGCAGCTGCGTCGGCTTTTTTTTTTTTTAAAAAGAAGAAGTCATTTGAAGCAGACCAAGATTTTGCTACAGCTAGTTCAAAGCTGTACATCTTATTGCTGGTAAAGTACCACAGCAGTTGCGCCCTAATATATCACCAGCAGCCTTCTATTGTCTTGTCTTCCAGGCACATTAATTTACTTGCACTCTTTTAGCCTACTTTGTGGGAGAACTATTTTCTCCTGCAAGTTACTATTTGGGAAAACCTTGGCATCCTTCAAGTGCAGACCCTAATCAGCTGCTCCTATTGCTGTGTGTTAACACTCTTCATTGAACTCCGGATATCAAAGTGCTGTGCTACTTAAATTGTCTAGCTTTGTCTAGTTGATATTCCAGAGACAGTAGCATTCTTTCAGCCCTTCCCTCTCTCTTTTGCCACATGTCACTTATATTGTTGATTCTGCTGACAAGCTAGCTTTTGGCTGGAAGATTCTCCTTTCAGCAAGCCCAGTCTCTCCCAAAGCATTATCCATTCAAGTAAGGCTGCTTTTACAAACAGGTGGAGTATGGAATGGTAAAAAATAATAAAAAATCACTTTTCCAAAAGCAATGCAAGATATGGAGTGCATGAATTTTCATATGAAGGATGACAGAATGCTATTCAGTTGAAGTAAAATGCCACAGGGACTGACTAAAAACAAACAAAAAAGTTTAAAATCTTACTTAAAAGCAGAGGTCTGTAAGACAAATCCATAAGCACCAAGAGAAGCACACACAAAGTCACAGGGCTGCATTTCAAGCTTGATGACTTAAGACTCTCTTCCCAGAATGCCTAAAACCATTAGTATCTGTGAGTTGCTCCATCTTCCCTGGGGGTTTTGTACGTGCCCGAATGCCTACAGCACATGGCTTAGAAGGTGATGAACAAACAGCAATTGCTATGGGAATCTTCTATGTTACTTCTTCCAGCTTCCAAGTAAATGCTTGTTCACCAAGACAGGAATTCTATAGACTTGAAAGCTGCCCTCTCAAAGCAGCTCTCTGTAATAGGGTGGGGCTTGCTGCTCCCTCCTCTGCATCTGGTCCAGGAACCAGCAGAGTGGCTCATCACAATCCCCAACCTCTGTGTCATGGATAGCATTTGACCAGACAGAGAGAGAGTTTCAAAAAAGGTACCACACTGAGTGTTCATCAGACCTTGTAATAAATGTTTGCTGGGCTCTGAGGGGGCATCTCTTGAACTATGTACACAGGATGTCCATAGTCACCACTGACTTTCTCATAGTGAGGGCAAAAGACACTATCTGCAGTCCTCAGAGGGATGATAATGTCACTGGGTTCAGACCCATTGTTGTTCCCACTGCGTTTTGGGGTTGCTAATGTACTAAGTGACAGAGTTGTTGTGTGCTGAGGCGAATGCTTCCTGTGTCTCCTTCGATACTTCAACAAAAGAACCACCAGTGTGATGATGATGAGGAGGAATATGATGGACCCTGAAGCTATCCCTGCAAATAAGGCCACCTCTGAACCAAGGATACTGGAATGTCCAGCTTTGCTCCCATCTGAGTTGGGACCTAGGAATAAGGTTGGAGGGGGAAGGGGAGAGAAAGAGAGAAAGAGAAGGGAGAAATCTAAGTTCAAAACAATCACTGTCCCATCACCACTTTGCAGCTGTCTTTAACTGTCTTATGAACAACCTGAATAACTAGATGCAACCAGTCATTCATATTACAAAGAGACATTCTGACTGTTGCTCTCTGTCATGTTGCTCCCAAATTATACTTTGTTCTTTGAATCTATCTTTGCCCATCAGTAATGAACAACAGCACTGATAAAACAGCCTTTGATGCATGTCATGTGTCCACAGAAGTTGGGCAGCTTAAGGCAGTTAATAGAATAAAATAGGGAAACAGGAGTTCTCAAGACTCGTAGCTAATCTGTCACTCTATTTTACAAATACTAATTTGCATTAAACTACGTATACTACTGTGTGTCTGCTCCTATCTGCATATGTATCTTTATTATATAGCTCAGAAATTAAAACAAAATGGAGACATTAATGAGCTGAAAAGGTATCTGTAGGCTTCAGTGTAACTGTTCTAATACTGACTGAAAGATGCAACTGGTATCTTCATATCAATCTTGAGATTCTATCCAAACCCAAGTCTTGGGATTGACTTTAATAGCTTTCCACACCCAATGTAACTCAACTGGTACACAAAAAAAGCTGGGAGAGAACCTTATTTTGTAGTGGGGCATCATGACCCACTAGAACCTTCTAGAGCAGTGTTTTTCAAACTTGGCCACTTTAAGATGTGTGGGCTTCAGCTCCCAGAATTCTCCATGCCATGCTGGCTGAAGAATTCTGGGAGCTGAAGTCCACACATCTTAAAGAGGCCAAGTTTGAAAAACACTGCTC